CCCGGCTGGTGCTGCGCGCTCTCCGTAGGCTCGGTCGCCGCCCGCGCCTGCTCTCGGGTCCCGTGGGCTTCGGGCCGGGTTTCAGGAGTCCGAGAAAGCAAGGTCTACAAGTTCGTGTGGATTCGAAAATTTAAAACCTCATTAGCGCCGCGAAGAAAAAGCCGGGAGCCTCGCGGCCGAGCCTCGCGCCGCACGGTAGCTGCGTCCCCTCCCGGGCCGACACGCGTGGGACCTCCGACAGCCCAGAGCCTCTCTCCTCTCTTACCCTGGTCATGGAAGGAGTAGAGGAGTCAGAAGCCGACTGCTCCGTAGCGTTCGCCGAGGCGCAGAGATGGGTGGAGGTGAGTGCCTCTTACTGCTCTGCTTTGCACACGAGTTTGGGGTGCAAGGGGCCGGAGGCTCTGGCCACTCTGCTCTTTGGCCTCCTCCGGTGACCTCGCCGGAAAGAGGGGAGGCAGTTTTGGAAATGTGCAAGTTCTGCCTCTCCTACCTGTTAACGCAGAGCTTAGTTTAGCGTTGCTCTCTGGCGACGGTCCCCAGAGCCTGCCCACCCGGCTTGGGGACCGCGCCTCCGCCAGGACCAGCTCTCCTGGCTCTGCTCGGCCAGGTGCCCGTCGGTGGGCACAGCCCAGATCGCTGGCGCAGAGCCGGGCCGGGGTCCTCGGGTGCGTTTTTGGGAGTGGCTAGAATAGGGATCCCCGACTCGTACCTGGACAGCCGGGGTGTGCGGCTTATGTGGACGGGAGAGAAAGGGCGGTGAAGGAGCACACCTGGGCTGCACCTGGAGAGATACTCACGGCCGCTCCGGCCCACGGAGTGAGGTCGCGGCTTGTCTTTAGTGTTCCGCGTTGGTGACACTGAGATAGCCTGGGGTCACTCACGGAAGGGTTGTTGTTTCCACAGCTGTGCTTTCTAGACAAGATCTCCGCCTCCCTTCTACCTACAGAAGGGGAGATAGTCTCTGCATCAACGCCTGGGAGCTAGGCTGTGTTGGTCTGTAGAAGACTTCTAGGCATTCTTACAGACTTCTAGTCATTAATTCTCCTAAATAAGTGATTAATTTTTTGAATAGTGGAGATTGAACCTGGGGTCTTGTGCATCTTTGAGCTGAGATCCAGCTCCAGCTCCTGAATGTCTTTTAGAGCGAAAGAAGCCTTTCAAGCAAATGTCAGTCAGGCACAACTGCTTGTTAAAAATATCGTTGACTCCTCCGGCCAGCCTTGCAGTCTTTGTGGAGTTACTGATGCCACGTGTCTGTTTATTCAATGTATAGTATTTAAAAAGTTTGAATTAGGCTTAAAGACCATTCCATGAGAAAAACAGCATATTCAAGAATTCTAGAGTAAACAGCATTTAAAAAATAATTCGTTTTTCTTTAAAGAAACGTATATGTAGGTAGAGGACGTAGAGAATGAACCTGGATTTCTCACGTTGTGTAAAGGAATGGGAACTCTAAATACCCACTAGACAGTGGGGGGGGTGTCCTAAGAAATTAGTTTTTGGTGTCCTTTTGGACTGAAACAGTGAGCTGGCCCGGAGGTGACTTAGAAAAGTGTGAAGGGAGGGCAGGGGCTGTCAGGAGAAGGATAAACACTGTATTTTGAATTGAAATGAGAGTGGAAAAATTCCAGCTATGCAGTTAAAAGAAATAACTTTCCTCATTCATAAACTTTGAAAAGGCAAAATTTCTAGCTGTAACTTTCCATTAGTCGTGTTTGTTCTTCATTATTTTAGAAAGCAGATTTGCTGTTTTGTGTTTGAGTGTTGAAGTGGAGGGGGTGGAGAGAAGACTTGAGGACATTTTTTGGTCATGCACAGTTCCTGTATGGAGTTTATATCTTCATGCTTTGTATTTGCTTAGGAGATCAGTGGATTTGGATCATTTCAAACTTTATTTTAGCTTGCAGATTGTACAAAACTAAGATTTCCTTATTTGTCATAGCTTGCTCATAATTGTATAGGGTTTCTGTGAGAAATTTATAATGAACTCCTGAAAAATATGATGATAGAGATAGTTATTGTGCCTAGTAAATATGCTCATCTTTCCCTTCCCATCCCACCCTATGTAAAGGCATTTGTCAGTACTAATTTAATAACTTAATATTGTGTTTTGGTCATTATTAGGATAAACCTGAGTCCTTTCTAAAGGTATTTTCATATCTTTTTTTATGGTACTGGAGATTGAACTCTGGTCCTTGCATTTGCAAGGCAGGCCACCAAACTGTTGAGCTAAATCCCCAGCCCTGTCATATCTTTTTAATATAGTTAGTGAAATTAAAATTGTGAATTTTCTTCTCATGCCACTTGGACCACTGACAATTATTGAAGACATATTCACAAATTCTTTGGGAATACTGGGCATTCGAAGTGACAGCAGTGGGTTCACTGTTAGTTCTTTTTTTTTTTCCAGTCTGTCCACATTTACCCCTCTTTTTTAGCTTTGTCATTACAGCCAAAGCACATATTTTAAAACATTATTCTTGCCAAAAGAAGCAGAATGAATGACTCTCTCCTTGCCACAACCTATTAATTTAAGAACCCCTAATTTGAAGATAAAATGTTGATTCCAAAGTCTTTTATAAAGTATTTTGGAGAGCAAGGAATATTACAATGTAAAACTTTCTCCTATTTGCTAATATTCTTGCTCTGTTACTTTACACATACTGCAGTATAAATGGGTCATTCATATATATTTGCCTGCCTATATTATAATGTGTAACTTGTGCCCATTCTGTATAATATGATCTGGTAACTTCATTTTCAGCTGCTTAATATCCCATATTCAAGAAGCTACTGAACTTATGAAACTTTGCTTGGTGATCAGACTCCATGTCAGTACATTCTTGGCATTAATGTTTTCCATTTTTTATTTTTGTTTTTTATGGTGCTCAGGACCGAAACCAGGACTTTAGGTATACTAAGTAGGCATGCTGAGCCTACTAACCTTCCATATGTGATTTTAAGTAGTTCATGTGTTGTGATTCTTGTAAGTGAAGTTAAAATTTTTAAAATGATTTTTTTTGGAGTTAAGAAGAAAGTAAGGAGTGAGGTCTAGTGGTTTTTATTCTGACATTATTATTATTTTTTAAAGGTACACTTACTATATTTGAGTGTATAATTGGTACATAGTGCTAAAGCAATACTGTAAATATATATTTAAGCACTTACAGATATATGCAGATACACATTGGCTTAGTTGCCGTATAATAGTATATTGAATACGTAGATGTACCATGTTTATTATAATATCTTTCTAATGCCTGTTTCTAAGTTTGCATTTTTTCCATTGTTTATTGGTGCATCTTAGATATACAATAGTTACATTCATCATTAGGATCTTGTATCTTTACATGATGTATCTTGGTTTTTATTTTTCCTCATTCCCCTTGCCCACCCCCTCCACCCTTCCCTATTTACAAGGACTTTTTTTCCATGCTTTTCCATTTCTCATATTTTTTTCTTTTCCCTTCTTTCCTTTCCCCTACCCTTCCCACTTCTCCTACTCCTTTAGACATTGTCTTCCTATTTCACAATATCAGTTATACATTTTGATCCTTATGTACACTATTACTTTTTCACACCAGAGAAATGATTCAGTATTTACACACGTGTGTCCTATTTATTTCACTTAAGAGTATGGCCTAAATGTGCATCCACTTAGCTATAAATGTCTTTAGTTTCATTTTCTTTATGGCTGAGTAGTACTCCATTTTATAAAACAAACAAACAAACACATCTTTATCCAGTCTCTAGTCGATGGGCACTTGGGCTGTTTCCAAATTTTAGCTATTATAAACTGTGCAACTATAAACATGGGTGAGCATATATCACTGTGGTATGATTCTTTTAATTCTTTTAGGAAATATTCAGCAGAGGAATAGCTGGGTCAAATGGGACCCCTAATCCTAGTTCTTTGAGGTGTCTCCTTATTGATTTTCACAGTGGTTGCACCATTCTGCACTCCCACCAACAATGGAGACGGGTTCCTTTCTTCCCACAACCCTGCCAGCATTTTTTATTGGTTGATTTCATGATAGCAGCCATTCTTTGTGGGGTGAGGTGGAATCTCAGTGTTTTCATCTACATCTGTCGAATGACCAGTGGTGTTGTACATTTTTTCATATGTTTATTTGCTGCTTTTACTTTGTCTGAGAAATGTCTGTTCATTTCAGATGCCCATTATTTGATTGGGTCTTTGTATTTGGGGGGGTCTGAATTTTTTTAGTTCTTTATATATTCTAGATACTAGACTTTTGAGGAACAGCTGGTAAAGATTTTTTCCTACATTGTAGGTTGTCTCCTAGCTCTGTTGGTGGTTTCTCTTGCAGTGCAGAAGCTTTTTAATGAGATGAGATCCCAGTTGTTGACTCTTTGTGCTAGTTCTTGTGCTACTGAGGATTTGTTCATAAAGTCTTTTCCTATGCCAACTGACATTATTATTTTATTAATTTTTCATTTTGTTCACTTCGTATTTACTCATAACTCATATATGTATATATATTTGGGGGGCAGAGCCTCTTGCATGTTAGACAATTAGATGAGCACTCTGCCACTGAACTTCTGCAGTCGCTGTACATAAGAATGTGTGCACACACACACACACGCACACACCCCACATGAGCACACACACATTTAAAAATAAATGTTAACCTGGTTTGTCTACTCAGGCTAACCTCACAGTCAAAACAAATGTAAGAATGCTATCTTTTAAGATAATAGTGGTATTGGATTATTATCAGGTTGGAAATGCTGTGTTTGGAATATTAATAATGTAGCAAGGCTGGCTTATGATTAAACACAGGTTTAAAACCAAGTTATGTAATGATTTGAAGGCAGAGACCAAGGTGAAGCTTGATTCTAGAAGGTCATGGAATGGATGATGAAGTAGTAGAAAACATAGCTTGGACTCTAATTTTAACTGTCTTTCTGCTGCACCTCTAATTTTTTGTACCTGTAATTGCCTTTGGCTCTGTGTTGGAACATTGAAAAGACATACAGTGAACAGACAGAATACTGATAACATTAAAAAGTGGATACATTGCTCATTGCATTGCCCCATCCACAGCTTACAGCCTGTGAGTTAATGATTGAGGTTTAGCTACAGCCCTTCCTGTCACTGGCACAGAAAAGGCTTACTTCTCACCTTGCTGTTTACCTGCCCTCCCTTTATCTCTTTCTTTCAGTATCACTGTCATCCTATTAAAGGATCTAAAATTGCTAAGTCTGGCACTACAGTGAGTTCTGACTTAGTTTACCTCTGAGTGGTCTGGTTGCCCACTTGCCCCCATTTTTATCATTAAAGGATATGCTGGTTACTACCTTTTGTTTATTTTGCTTGCTT